AATTATTCATAAAATTACTTTAAAATATCAAAATAAAAATGATCCATTGATCTGGATGGTAAATGCTAATGACTATTTTTCCTGCTATACTGAGGGTTTATATTCACGGACTGAATTTCAGACTGTGTCTAACAGTCACCTAGAGAGTATGTAAAAATGCAGATTTCCTAGGACCCAGTTCCAGAGATTCTGATTCAGTAAGTCAGGGATGAGAACCAGACATCTGCAATTCTAACACAATTGTTTAATGGGTTAAATTTGGAAGAATGGCTCTTTTAGAAAGAGAATACGAACCATCTACCTGAAATGGCTGAAACATTAATTAATCTTCAGAAAATTTCATGTATATTTTGCTATGAAATTTTCATGCTGTGACTTTGAAGGAAGTCAACATAAAGTTCTTTCCTAAAGCCAAGACCCTAATGAGCTAATATCATGGTATTAATGTTGTTTTTGAGGAAAGTTCTATTTAAAATTCTATTAAAATATTCTAAAATTCTATTAAAATCTACCTGTTTAGACCTAGTCTTTAAAATTGATTACGTGCTTTGGCCTTCAATCTCAATAAATTCCATGTCTACACAATGGGGAAGAGCATTGTAGCATTAACTGCAATAAGAAGGGAAGGGGAGCTGAGGAGGGTTATTCCTCTTAAAAAACAAACATTATCCAAAATTGCGGGGCTTCAGCATAATCACTGACACTATTCAAAAACAATGAAGAGAAAAAGTGAAGCACAGGGAAAACACAGGCCGTGCATGCCCAGAATCTTTGCCATGTATCTTCTATTCCTCCAGAACATTTCTTTTGTATATGGAGACGGTGTGTCCACTAGGTCGGGAATAGCAGGAACACGGGGATATTCAGGAGTATTCCAAGCCACGTTCTTCTCTGTATGATAAAGGACTCGATGGTGACATGATCCTTCCAATGGACGGTATTTAATTATTTGCATGTAACACTCGCATATTTTCTAAACGTACCTGGTTTTGTGTAAAACCTCATAGTCAGTCGCTGGCAATCCAAATAGTTGTTCACCAGATGAATATGTAACAAACTTCCTCCACAGATCATCAAAATTAGCCTACAACAAAGGTTTTTAAATTGTACTAAAATATAATTAATTCAGATCTCATTAAAGTTGAATTTATTATAATCACAATAAAAGAGAGGTTGAGGTTTATTAAGTAGTATCTATGAAATAAGGATTTGTGAAGCAAATTTATACTGATACTAAGCTATCAGAGGAAAAGTTAAACACTTAGGAAAGTTAACTTTCAAACATTCTAAAAGCACCCATTTTATGTAAAATTATTTCTTTAATAAAGTAAGGGATCTCTAAAAGATCTATATTTCAAGTTCTCGTAAATACATCTGAAAGTAATAAAACTGCATTAAGAAATTCTATAATTCAGGCTTTTTCACTAATTTAGACTGGCCATCTCTCTCTCTTACAGGGCTCAAATGAGTGAAGTATTATTATAATCCAATGCTGCTTTCTCTACATGCAATAAAGAGTCTATAAAATGAAACCTTCCACTTTAACACCATTTGAAATAATTCTAACAATTTAAATCAACAAAGTTAATGCATATGTCTTTTAATTTTTTCTTTTGCATCAAGAGCATTCCTTAGTGGTTAGCATAGTGACTCCTCAATAAATTTACTGAATGAAGAGCCTATGGGACTATATGAACACTAGGAAAGGAGAAACAATAATTTCAAAGTTAAAATGCATTAAAATAATAGTGTTTAAAATCTTGTTCATGTGGTAAAGACTATTGATGGATGCCTATCACTCGCCCCTTTTTCCCTTCAGTTCCAAATAATATAAATAGACCCATAGCACCAGCCAAACAGGGAACAAAGTGTCAGCTTTGTCAGAAAGCCAGCAGAGTGCCCAATAACTCCCAAAAAACAGCATAAGATTGCATTAGAGAACACCACTAGGGGGGCTGGGCATGGTGGCTAATGCCTGTAATGCCAGCACTTTGGGAGGTGGAGGCAGGAGGATTGCTAGAGGCCAGGAGTTCAAGACCAGCCTGGGCAACATAGCAAGACCTCTATCTCTACAAAAAAAAAAAAATCAGAAAAATTAGCAGGGTATGGTGGTGTGCACCTGTAGTCCCAGCTTCTCAGGAAGCTGAGGCAGGAGGATCGCTTGAGCCCTGGAGTTTGAGGTTGCAGTGAGCTATTATGCTCACTGTACTCTAGTATGGGCAACAGAGCAAGACCCTGTCTCAAAAAGAGAAGAAAGAAAAGAAAGAGAAGAAAAGAAAGGAAGGAAGGAAGGAACAAAGAAAGACAGACATCACTAGGGCCCAAGGCTCAATGTGGGATGCCTAGACCTAGCCACCTGCTTTTTGGGGGAGGCAGCTGGTCGGGCCAACTTTGCTTCTGAGCAGAGTTGGGTCTACAAATCTGACCCCAAGTCACATATCCAACCAGATGCACAGCAAACAGCCTGTATGACTCACACCCCTAGGCAAAGGCAGAACACAAGGTACAAAAAGGCAAGAGATGAGCCTACATTGTTTTTTTCAATGAAGTGCCCACACCCCTGGTAAAAGCCTGGCACATAACGTCCCAGTTGCTTACCAATAACTTGGTTTCTTTAACATACCCTAATTTCCTCTGTAAATGTGAAGACAAGGTCATCTGCTCCAACAAACCCCAAAGCTACTTCTCCTCCCACATTCCCTACCTCAGTAAATAAGTTGATCTTTACCTATTAGAAGCTGGAATCCTTGATCTTTTTCCCTCAACCCAGGCTCCAAGCCTATCAATTCTGCCTCTTTAATAAACTCATGATCCATCTAATTTTCTTCATTCTACAGGTGCCATTTGCTTGGTCTCAATCTTTACAATTGCTTGTATTACTGAAACTACAATCGGTCTGACAGTTCTCCCCCCAAATCACCAGTGCCCACACTAATACTACAAAAATCTTCTAAAAACACAACTTTTTTTTAAAAATCTAGTATGATCTTATCACTCCCTGCTTAGACCCCTCCAGCCCTCAGGGTAGGATTCACACTTCTTAAGATCGCCCACCGGCCCTCCACAAGTGATCTCTGCCCACTTTACTGCTCCATGCTCATCTCTATCCTCTTTGCCTTTATCTTCCCAAATCTCCCTGACTGTCTCCTCACTGCTGGGCCTTTGTATAATATGAGCCACAAATTCTGCCTACCTTGCTTTTCCTCCTTCTTCCCCTGGCTAACTCTAATTAGTCCTTCAAGATGCAGCTCAGATGCCTCTTCTTCCAGGAAGCCTTCTCTTTCTGCCCCACCTGCCCTCATGTGGGTTAGGAGCCCCTTACACCCGTTTTCATTACACAGCTTCACGTAACTAGATCACAGTGCTCATCACGTGGTTTTGGGAGTTCTCTCTCTAGCTTGCTGTCTCCCTGCAAGGTTTTAGCAGCTTAGAGCTAAGAACCATTTCTTAGCCAAATTTCTACTGAGCAAGCCAGACAGTAGGCATCCAATAAATATTTTTTTTTTACTAAGAATGTAGGTGGGATAGGGGACACACATAAAAAGAACATGAACACATTGTTCAGCCACTGTAAAAAACAGGAAAAAGAACGGTAAAAAGAACAGAACTGCCTGATACTCCCGAGGGACAAGTTCACATAGGAATCCACGCATTTGCGAAGCATTAATCCACATGGGCGTGTGATTTTTTCTCCACATGTGCTCAGCAATCTGAGTGTAGGAAAAAAACAGTGAATGGTTGGCCTGACCCAACAGGTATTGTTCTGTCTGAGGTGGGACAAAGGAGTGGGGAAGTTCAAAGTGATGGATGCAAAAGGAAGAAAAATAACGGATACAGAGGGAAGGCAGAGAAAACATTTACCAACATTTAAAATTTTATCTTGATAAATTCATTATACTATGAATTTTTGATCATTTTACATATCAAACAAGATGCTTAGAACTAGAACAGGTATACCCTTAAGTTCAAAATCAGGGTCTGATTCTCTAAAAATACAAAGAGATATTCTGTGGAGGGACGTGGAGGGGCACGGAAGGAGTCAATTACATCCGTTAGCAGATTCTTATACAATTAAAGTCTGTGTGTACTTTAGACACTAAATTTTCTATTATAAGATTAAACATGAATTTTCCCCTAAAATCTTTTTTTAAAAATCACACATTGTCAATGTAACCAAAAAAAAAAAAAAAATTGTGATTGTACCTGAAATATCTGTAGCCTATTGCTAGCTTCTTGGGGTGGTATATTTGGAACCATGGGTCCTTCCTGTAAGGAATAATATAATCTTCATTTTCATTCTTAACCATATATATTTGTCAGATTATTGGATTTATCTATTATTTCCTTTTAAATAAATAAGCATTATTTTTAATTTAAATGATCTAACTTTGTCCTGTACTTGAAGCTTTCATTTATTTTTTTGGTCACAGCTTTATTGAGA